CACAAAATTAAAATCGTCGCGCGAAAATAATTATTTAAGAAAAAAACAGTGAAAAATACAATGTCGAAAATATTGGAACGAGGGTTAAATTATTTTCGAGGATCGTTTTTAGACGAAAAAAGAATCGCGAATTTTTTTATTTCGAAAATCTGTGCGTTATTGCATTGCCAAAAGATTCACTCGACCTGTGATCTATGGGTATTCTTATAAACATGAAATATTTGATGATCTCGTGATTCTCTGTGTTCAGGTAAGTTTACGTGTTTTTAATAACTTCTGCTTGATATCTATTTGACTATTAATATATTATTTAATTATAATATAATACAATAATTAAATATATAACAAAATTTTACAATACTAATAAAATTTTATCATTATTGTGTTTTATCTTTATAAGTGCTGGATTTTAAGGAAACACAATGATGTCGTATTTGATTTCTGTCTCGTAGAAAGACATCGAATAATTAAAAAAAAAACTCATTAATTTTTTTATTATAAAACAAAATAATATTTGCAAATTTTACATTTAATATCACATATCAGGTATTTAATATAATATATTATATTAAAGAATATTTTACGCGTTACTATATTTTTTCTTTTGAATAATTTGATATATTATTATGACTATTACAAATTTTTTTAAATTGGAAAATAATTCCCTTGTAATATACAATTTTACGGAGGACATAATCAGAGAAAGAGTTGGAAGGTTAATGACTCTTCTATTCATTTGCAATGAGATCTCAGCATTATATATACATGACGAAATGTCGATGTAGTCGACATATCGACATCTTTCACGTGCATTGAAACTTTGCGGCAACGTGCACAATATACATGGTGCAAGCGTTCATTTATTTATTATATATTTATAAGCAATTTGATGAAAGTTCACAGTAGATTTTCAATCGCGATCACGAATATCGATTTCTTTCAAGTATCCAATAATGTCGGCACAGCTCACAAATACGGTGAAAAAAAGGAAAAGCTTATCGATCGCTTTAACATGGACACTGACCGGTAAAAATATATTAGCGACACAGTATGCGCGTGGACAGGTTAAAGCCCATTTCATCGTTAGACAAACAAGACTCTTATTGTGGATCTATGTGTAGAAGAATCATACTAAATATTCCATTAAATGTCTTACGTCTGCTACATGATAAAATATTTATGCAATGCCAAGGCACAAGACATTGACAGAAAGTATCTATTGTAAATAGGAATAGAGTAGATAGAAATTGTACGGAGTAAAATAAATTTTCTCGTTTAAAAATTTCTGTTTAAAACTTTATATATATTTATATATAAATAACATTTATTTTTAATTGCCTCCAATTCGTTTACACTTTCAACTCATCAAGTTCTGCTGCTCCAATCTCGAAATAATAAAGCAATTAACGCATTAAGAGTTAAAAAAGATCAGACAAAAGTTATAAGAAAGAAAAAAGTTTTGCTCAAAAAAATTGATTCTAAAATGTTCAACAAATATGCTTTTATAAATTTCACTATCTTGAATATATGAAAGAACTTTTATATTACAGTATATATTTCGTTCATTTAAAGAGAAAGAGGAAGAAAGATCTGATAAGCTATCTGATGTATAGTAAAATATACTATCATAAAATTTATCTGCCTGCTGAAACAGATGATGTGTAGACACAATAATATTATTCCGTTGTAAAGAAGTAGTCGATGACCCACATTTGCACCTTCGTTTTAATAATCACGCATATACTATATTGACACTCGTAAAAAATTCAATCGTAATAAAATGATTTCATCCACATGAGAATTACAACATGAGTCATGTTATATAGAGTGTCCCAAAATTGACAGTGAGCGTAAATATATTTAACGCGTTAGAAAATTTTTAATTAAAAATGTGTTAGCAATATGTGCTTATATAAATAAGCGCAGAATTTACAATATTGTTTCAATGCAAATTCACTTAAAACCGTTATTTTGTAATAATTTAATTTATATAAAAATATTTATAAGATATTGACAGAAAAAGATAAATACTTTATATGTAATTATAATAATTCGTAATTGCATATTTTTACGTTTCCATACTTTATCATGAATCATACCCGTGACGTTGAGCAATTGATATACTGTTTTAAAACGCAACAATGAGTATTCGCGACCTCATTTTATGATCATAAAATCGATATATATACGATCGTATCAAAACTCGCCATCTTTTCGCTATTAATGTCGATTACGTGCGAATTATAGAGATACAGTATTATCGATTTGCTGCGTATTGTTTTATATTTAATGTAGAAAGATCTTGCAAATTAAAAGTTCAATATCCTTTAATTCTAAATTCTTTTTTTATCTTTTTTTCTCGAATATTTTTATTTAAATATAGAATATAAAGAGAATTATGTTTTGCCATTTTTAGAATGCCCCTCGTAGGAGCATGTTTCAAAGTGTGGATTTATTTTGGGCTCATTTATGGTTGGAGTGAAAGTGCTCGACCACGTTTTGATACATCTACGGATATGGGATTGGTATTAGTTCCAGCCGATGCCGAGGTCGATTCCGTAATCTTTCGGTTACGCGCCACCGATCAGGACGCGGATTTTCCTCTCGTTTTCGAAATAACTGGTAATTAGAAAAAAAAAAATCTACAAATATCAAAATCATTGCTAAAACGCGATTCACGATCAGAACATAAAACATAATAAATTCTGTATTTCGTTCAGCAACAATTACGCCCGTTGTAAGAATCGACAACCTGCCGTGTACGCTGTACAACAAAGTCTGCCAGGCCAATGTAATCTTAACGAAACGCCTTATGCCCGGACGTCTTCACGATTTTGCAGTCAGGGTTCGGGATACTAAGGGAGACTCAAATTCAATGCAGGCTACCATTTCCGCAACGAATGCCACGACGTCGCGTGATAAAATATTTCCTCACATTCCTTCTTTAATAATGGTACCTGAGGTAATTATTGATGTTTTCTCAAATAACGTTAATTAGCGCTGTAATTGTTTCCTCGAGTATAATAAAGACAAACTCTTTATTTTGCACGTCATTACTAATTATCTATCTAATATTAGCACAAAGTCTATTATTATAACACATAATATTCAATTTTAATATTAAAAATTAATGCAATATCTCGTTAAAAGGATACTAAACCAGGTACAGAACTAGATTATCTTCTCGTACGAGCAAATTCTTGGAGCGGCAAACCTGTTTATATCGAATTATGGGTACGCATTTAACGATTATTTTGCATTTAGATATTTATATGATTAATAAGATGTAATGTAAAATGCAAAATCGCTTTAAATTCGTTTTAGCAACCAAAAGAACTTTTTACTATTCGGCAGCGACAAACGCCAACGCAAACGTTTACTCGACGAGTTGAGTCATCGCTAATTCTCTAATTCATCGCACGTCACGCGTTATTTCTCTGACAGTTTCGATCTCGGGAAAAAGTAACGATGGCGTTGATTCATATTCTCTTTTACTATTCAAAGCTGACCTTATTTTGCGAAAAGCACCGGACAATGATTAAGCAGGGAAATTTGTTCAGCGCCGATCTTCCATTCCTTGATATCAAAATCATTTGTTCTATGCACATATAAAGTTTGTGAAAAAAAATCACGTGTGTGATCGTGTTATTTCTACAATTTGTGCACATTTTTTCACAAATAAACAATCTCAAACAGAAATTATTTTATCATATTAAAGTTAACCGTATATATGAAAATCTTTAAGAATATATACGAATTATAAGTTATAGATTTGTATAGATTTATATTGAGATGTAAATATCCTAAACTGAAACACGACGTATAAGAAAACGAAAACGCGAAGTTACATTTGCTAGACATATAAAGAATAGTTTTGTAAAAAGGACAAAAATTTAATTAACGCGAGATCGATTTTTGCGTAAAATTAATAAAAATTTTTCAAGTAAGCAACCTACACATGTATTTTCAAGTTTGCCCGTGCGAATATGTAAATATTGGCGAAATCCTTGTTGTCTGTCATCTGATATTTGACAGATCGGATTTTTTTTTCATGAAAGTCCAAATAATTCAAGCAAGAAGGCGAAAAATTGACGAGCAGTAAATAGAAGGCGCTAAAGGTGGTCGGAATAAGTCTGGACAGTCTACGGCCAAGTATCGATCGTTCTTAGGGGTCAGTCTCTGCTTTTCAACTTGCGATGCTTATCATTCCGTGGCAAGGAGCATGCGATACGTACTACGGTCCTCGCGTGTGCGGGTTCCACCTACATTCAACGATGTATATATCCATCTATTACTACGAACGATTTCTTACGTCGATTTCACCGGAACATTATGTAAAATTATTGCCGGTCAGCGTGCGTGTACGGTACAAGAATCGAAACGAAGAAATAACAAGGATAAGAGAATTCGCGCGTTTATTATCCGTGATGTTTTATTCATATTAAAAATAGTCCACATAGCGTTCTGCTACAGTGGTTCTCCAAGAAATATCGAATCATTTCGTGTAGAAATGTTTTTTTTTTTTTTTTTAATTGATTAATCATTAACAGCTCATGCAAATTTTACAATGTTTAGGTGAGATTATCCTCGCTAGGCCTTTAGAGGAACTTACGCAAATTACTCATATTGGTGCACCGGTCGTGCTGACTGTGGTAGCTGAGGAAATACGAAGATCTAGAGACGAGCCGCCAGCTCAGGCAACAATCGTCGAAGTCGGATTCCTTCTTGGAGAACCAGGCAACAGCCCGCCATATTTTGAAAATGATAAGTTGGTACCGAATAATTTTAATAACGAGCACGTAAAAGTCAGAGTAACGTTTTTTCATGAATGCTTAATCTAATTTCTGACAAATAAAACTATAATTTGTCATACTATGCCTTTATATACCTTATAAATTATCGATATTATTTTATGCCTTTTTAACGTTTATAACTATAAGTTAAAATCCATACAATAGCGCTCATATTATTCTCACTGTTTTAAATATAGACAGTTTAAATTCTTATCGACAAATTATATTTTGTCGCACTTTATGTGTATATTTATGATATTTATTTATGCTTAAAGCATATTTTCTTTCTCTATTTATAGTTACATTGCATCAATACCAGAAAACTTGGAACCAGGTTCCGTGATAACATTTCCCGAGCAATACTCGACTAAAATTCACGATGAAGATATTGGTAAGGCTGGTGTGTTCGCATTAAAGTTACGAAATAACAATGGTACTTTCGAGATAAATCCGACTGTTGCTGAACGTACAGCAGATTTTATTATCACAGTACGAGACAATACACTCATCGATTACGAGATGTATAAAAGTTTATCCTTTAAGGTATGTATTTCTAATGTCAAAATAATTATTTAATTAACAATAAATAATTAATAAATATTGTCTAGTTTGCATTGATATACATATACATATATATAATGCGTGATATAGATTGTTGCTCAAGAGGTTGGTCCAGCGACAAATCTATCAGCAACAGCAGCGGTCGTTATATTTATACAAGATGTTAACGATAATTCGCCGATATTCGACGAAGAATCTTATGAAGTTACATTGTCGGAAAATGTCACCGTTGGAACACGAGTTATCCAAGTAATTTGTATTATTTTCTTTTAATATAAATCTAAATTCAAACATCATTTTTCTAAAATCACTTTTTATTGGAAGCGTTCTTGGCACAAGACAGGGACAACTACTAAAATCTTTTAATTGTATATATGTACATGCATGTACGCGAGTGAATTTTTCAAAACAAGTTGTACTAACCTCACGGTTGCTGCGCCGCCGATGCTTTCCCGGACCCGGGGGCCTCCTCCTCTCTTAACCATCCTTTATTGCTTTTTATGGCACTCGCGAAAACACGATTAATTAAGATGGCGCGTGTGCTAATGAATAGAATACAACGATCGCGCGGCACTTTGCACGGCATTCCCGACATTAATCGCACGCGATGCACACTTTATAACGGCGGGAAAACGATGCGAGAAGCTAAACAAACATGACTGCACGAATCTACTACCCGTCCGTCGAAAATCGTTCGATCAAAAATGCGCTCCATTTCATGTTATTTTCGCTTCGAAGTGCAAAATTTTTCGCCCTGTGATTGGTCCATCAAAATGTAAATAACTTCAAACGGAGGGCACCACAAGTGCACACCGCGGTACTTCATCTGTTACTAGCATAACTCTCGGTCCAGGAGAATTATTATCTTACATTATATATGATGAATAAGTATACGAGTTAAAATTAAAGAGAAATATCCATAGAATATAATATCCCAAGATACGTGTATGTTATCGCTTTATTGACTATTTTCGCGATCAATCGTTGCTATTAATTAAGTAAATCGTATAAAATATGCATTTTAAAAAATTATTGATTTATAAACATCGAATCTTTGCGCTACGCGAGGTTAATGAATATTAAAATTTCTAATGCATAAAACTCAAAAAATGAAATATACAGATTATTAATAAGCAATCGATATATTCACTTTTCATTATTCATGGTAAATTATTCGGCAATTCGTGTATTATTCCGCACTTTCAATCAGATATAGAAGAAATACGTACCATATATCAGCAAATACATACTTTGATAAATAGTTACTGCGATATTCTTACACATCATTTATCGTGAAAGTAATCAATCGCGAAAGCTAACCGTAATAATTATAGGAAATGATCGCGTTTTGCAGAACAATCTAACACTAAGCTTCTCGCACCACTACTCGCTCGAGGCTCGAGCACTGTATAAATATGTGTTTATTTATATTGTGGCTCGAGTGTCGCCGAGCGAGCGAATGACGCAACAAGAGAGAGACAGAGAGATCACTGCGTGTAGTACATAAATAAAGCGCGGCAATTAAATTTATATTTTTATTTTCTAATTAAGAAAATATTATGTATATTGTAAAAATTGATTATTTATTATATATTATTACTTTTTTCCAAATTGTCATATTCTTAAAAAAATTAAATTGTATTGATTTTAATAAATTAATAATTGTGATTTTTTTAAATAATATGCGCGCATAAAAATGAGACTATAAATTGTCGTACAAAATTTATCACAATATGTTGATTATTTGCATTAATCAAATAATAATAAGATTACAATATTTTTAATATAATATTATAATATTAAGGAATTTTATATAAAATACATATAGATTTTACATTTATCGTGTGTGTAAATTTATGTACTATTTCTATATATATTATCTATATATTAATAAACGTTTATTTAATGTTGTGTTTACTTGACAAAAAGAATCATATTTTTATTAATACACAGGTGCATGCTACTGACAAAGATACCGGTCTCTTTGGCAGCATTCAATACACAGGCATAACAGGACAAGGAAGCGATGCCTTCACGATAGACCCTGATACAGGTTTGATCACGGTCGCAATGGGATCATCTCTAGATCGCGAAATGGCAGCACAATTGCAATTAACTGTACATGCATCCGACGAGAACGGTAAAGGTAACACGGGCGTAGCATCTTTAATAGTGAATTTGCTGGATGTAAATGACAATGCACCGATTTTTGAGAAAAATGCCTACGAATTTACATTAAATTCCGATTTAACAAATTTCACAACACCAGCCATCATAAAGGTAAGCTTTAATTTTATATTTCCATTTGGATTATATTGATTTATAATTGTAACATATTTTCAATATCAACATGTTTAATATTTGAATATTTTTATAATTGTATTTGATGTGCACAGGCCACCGACGCCGATGCTGAACCTCCGAACAACGAAATTCGTTACGAATTGATTCAAGGAAATTATGAACATAAATTTTATCTAAATGAAATCACTGGAGAATTGATATTATGTTCGCCTATCACAAAATTTAGACGGAAGAAACAAAGCGTTTACGACAAATCTCCGAAAAAATTATACAAAGAATTTTTTCAATCGGAACACACCATACGAGGAAATGTATTGAAAACAACAGTATTCCCGGATATGATAAATTCTACGGAAAGTATCCTAAACGAAATCGAATTGAAACATAAAGTTAACGAAATAAGAAAATATCGAAGAAGACGAGCAGAAACTGATATTCTATACACTTTAACTGCCAGAGCATACGATCTTGGTAAATATATTTATATATAAATGCATTTCTTAAAAATAAAAATAATTTGTAAAATAGAATTACAATTTTTATGTAACCAAGTAGAAAATGTATTCATTTATTTCTTATTTAACGTGATGTTTTTAGGCGTACCTCATCTATCGAGCGAGACAGAGATCTCCATCGTCAGAAGAACTGCCATGGAAGCTCGCATAATGATGTTCGTTGTGCCAGGAGAACATCCAAATTTAACGAGGACCGCTGAGACATTAGCTACTATCACAGGTGGACGAATTACCGTATTGGATACACGACCTTATGTGCCGGATAATAAAACAGGCGTTACAGACAATGCTATATCGATGGAAGGAAAAAGGTTGATAAAGATTAATAAAATCTTCTGATTTTCTACACGCATCGTTAAGAAGGAGCATATAAATCTAAACACTTGAAAAAAAATCGATTAAATTGTTTAAGAATCCCCTCTGCTAAAAACAATAAAATCTTTAAATTAGTCTTTAATTCATCTCTCTCATATTTTTAATCTGTTTTGTTATTTGCTGCCAGAACGATCGTTATAGCTCGCGTCGAGCAAACTGAAGTCGGAACACCCCTGGTAGATGTAGAAAAAATTCGCAATATATTAGCTGCGAATGGGGTGGGAATTATTGGCGGCACAGGCACTACCAACGTATCTGTAACATACAACGACGAAACTACCACGAAACTGCCAATCGATGGGGTAATTCACAAAGGGGGAGATAATACGCGGACCTACGTAAACAAAACAATCACCAACGTTCACGAGGAAGTAGTGAGTAAACGTTAATTAAGCCATATTCGTTTCAATATCATCGTGCTTATTTTTTTATTTTACTTATCTCGATATTCTTTCACTAATCTAGCACGTTGTAAAATATTGTTGAGCAGATTCTTATCATGTGAATCATATTTTTTTTCTAATTTTGTTGGCAATCTTCGATTTTAGAGAAATGAGAGATCAGAGTTCCTTTTCAGACTGTGTATAAAGCGGAGAATAAATTGCTCTTTTGGTTACTGATTATTCTGGGCCTACTGATGTTGTTGGCAATTGCAGCGCTTATTGTCTGTTGCATCTGTCCGGGTTGTCCATTTTACATGGCACCTAGAAAGCGCAGGATATACTCGTCGGAAAAGCTTATCACTCGATTTAACGGTCGACCGAAACGGCATCTTCATCGAAAACCATTGGCTACAATCGAGAGTAATTATTACAATTATATTAATTTGAAACGCTTAAATTCTTTTAATTCTTTTAAGATAGTTTTTGCAATTGATACTCTAATTGCATACAATTCTATTTAACGCATACTATGTAATTTATAAAGTCATCGTTATTTATATAAAAGATATTTCAGCTTATTTAAAAAATGATAATATACACAAATACGCAGTTACATCGAATGGAAGAAAGCAAGCTTGGAGCGCAGATCCAGCTCAAAGAAACTGGCAATTTAATCGTCGAAATACTAAGAATGGTGGCTTAGCATCGCTCCCTGGTGATGTCGTGTATATTTCGGAGCGTCCTCCCATTGATCAAGCAAATGTAGAGTCATTAAGGTTACGTGATGGCCCGGCCCACGATCCTTCAAGAAGGAGAAGAATCGAGGAGCAGGAGAGAATGTATGTGGAAGATGTCGAGGAAAAGAAAATTAGAGATTACAATGCCACAGACGCGGATTCTTTACAACGACATGAAATGGAACGTGATTCGGACATTCTGCATCAAGCTTATAGACAAAGGTGGATAGAACGTATCATACTCATCGATAGCGATTTCGCGATAATTTCTAATAATTTCTAAACGATGAAATTTTTCTTGTACAATAAGATTGAGTAGAAATTAACCACAAAAAATAATATATATGACACATTTTTCTATATATTTTTCTTTTAAATTAAAACATTAGAAATTTAGGCATTAACATTGTTAGATTTTTATATAGTAAATCTGACTTATTTAAATATAATTTTATATTATTAAAATCAAATTAATTGTCATTAAAAATGTTTACTTTTTTTTAACTCTTTTTCTTAAAACTCCCATAAAAATTTGTGAAACATATTTTTCTATAGTAAGATTTTTCTTTTAATTAAAATAAAAGATTAGTAATATCAAGATTATATATTCTCTTTTTGAATTACATTACAGATACGTCGATCCTGAATCAAATAACGAGCCGGCGGTAAGAGAGCAACACTTTTACCGCGAAGGAAACGCAGAGGTATTGCAATTAGTAACGCGAGGACAAGTAGAAGATACGAGTCAACATCATTATCCGACGACTTTTATAGTGGATGGCAAAGATGTACTTTTGCAGCGGTTTATGCAAGATCAGAAAGCGCGGCAAGAACTATCAATGCAGGAACCCGAGGTGCTACGCACGGTCGAGTCTCATCAACATCCAAGAAATTTATATCAACAGGAAATTCTTCTTCTGCCGGAAGAATTAGAAGATAGGCGTCGACGAGCGGAGGAATTAGATTCTAACGCTCAAAAATTGACGATGGGTGATGGATATGCGGCGCAGAAGATAGACCTGGAATCACAAATGCGAGAGGTTCATCGTCAAGAGATTTCGATAAACATGCCCGGGATATCGGATAAAACATCGGTTCCCAAGGACCAAACGGTGCAATCTGCAACGATGCAATCGTACGCGTTTCATGATCTGGAGCTGGCAAGACAGAACGTCTTGCTGACGCGATTACTTTTGGAGAGAGAATCCAGGTACGCTGGTGGCATCACGATGGACGCCGTGAGTTATTTAGAAACTCAAAGTCTTCCTGGACAAGCGGTCATTGCCACACAGACCGAAAGAACCGCTGCAACTCAAACGGAACGACATATACGAAGCAGAAGCGACAATGATGAATCCGATGAGGATACTCGAAACCGAAAAAAGATGAAGTCAAAGAAACGCTACGATGAGGAAAAATTGAAGAGAACGCGGACCTTATGGATGAAGTCGCCTATCGAGGAAGAGGAAAGCCCATGCTTCGACAAACGGCTGAACATCTTGAGGAAAAAAGTAAAAGAAGTAAAAGAGAGACGAAAGGCATCCTTACAGCCTAAAGTACTGCGGGAAATATCGGATTCTCTCGACGAGAACGGAAGCACTTGTCGTGAAAGAGAAGGAAAGTCGGCGAAAACTTGTCAACAGCCCATCGAAGAGACTAGCATTGCATATAAAATGTTGCGTGAAAAGAAAAATGGCTCTTCGTCATCTATAGAAGTAGGTAGACAACAAGATGAGAAAACTTTCGATGAAAAAGAAACGGAGAGCTTCTCATCACCGGAAATAAGTGTCGATAATAGAAAATATATCCAAGAAAGGGTGGAGAAAAAGAGTTCGAGGAAAGAAAGCAAATTAAAAAAAGAAAAAAAGATAGAATCCGTGATAAAACCTAGTTTTCGGGTTTTAGAAAAAGAAATCACGATGTTGACGAAAAGACTGAGTAAACTCGCCGATAAAAAGGTACAGGAAGCCACAAGGGAAGAAAGTACGAGTCAAGAAAAATCGAGGACATCGGAAGACTTCAAAAAAGATCTACGTACATCGAAGAAAATAGATGATTCAAAGAAACGCAAACAATCTGAAACTTCTCCAGATATAGCAAAAGAGGCGAAGACTGAAAAATTTATTTATCATCAACCGCAGATTATGAGTCCTGGCAGTACCGAATACGAAGATCCGTTTGAAAAACCGATGAAATCAAAATCGGAATTTCGTCAAAAAGTTGCAAAGCACAAACAAACAAGTAGCCATATGAGAACAAAAAAACAGACGCAGAAAGAACGTAAAAAACAAATCGCACAACAGGATCGAGAGCCCGAAAAATGCAAGGATGCCGCGAGTAAAGAAAATAGCAGATCAAGCATCGAGAAGACTGCTAAATTATTATCACGTACGCGTAAGTTAGCAACTATCGGCCGTAGAAAGCACGTTTCGGAAGAACCCAGCACGAGTACAAGTTCCGATCGAATAAACGGTAAGAAGGACTTGTTCGTCAGTCGAGATTCTGACAAAAGAAGCGCAGATTCTGCAGAGATTTCATCGCATCATGTGGATCAGCAAAAACCGAAACAGAAATTAGATCACGTGAGCGAGAGATTCTCCGATGATTTTGTAACAGAACCACAGAGAAAAGACACCGATCGACAAACCGCTTTTCATTCAACGATAGATATAAGCACGCATAAAAAAGACATTGCAAACGATAAAAAAATAATACAATTTTCAGATGATTTTACAATAGAAACACAAAAGAAAGACATGGAACATCAAATGCAAACTGCTATTGAAAGTGAGATTGAGCAAAGTGCATGTTCCGATAGTGGCAAAGATCATGTAACATTGAAAGAAATGGCCAAAGATATCTTATTTTTTCAAGATCTAAAATATACACAACCAGAAAGTGAGATAACATTAGACACTGCAAAGAAACGAGAATTTGAAACGTCTAATATAGAAGATTTGGACAGCAAAAAAAGGACAATGCCTTTAGATTCTCCTGTCTTAGAAACGTTAAAAGAGGATCAAATAGAGAGACCATCATCGCATATTGATAAAAATGATATCGAAGACAAAATAGCTTACATGTCCGAAAAACATGAGAAAGAAACAAAGAAACCCTTACATGAAATTGAAAAAGAAATGTTAGAAAAAGAAAAAATTACATTAGATGATACACTCGAATTAAAGACGTTAGAAGATGTCGAAAGAACTATGAGGAAAGAAAATGAGGAACAATATGTAAAAAGTCCGAAAATATCGAATGATGTCATGGAGCATCACGTCGAACAAATAGAAGAATATAAGAAAAACGAATTGTGTAGCGACACTATCACATCATTATCAAAAATGGAAAAAGATTTAAAAGACATTAAAGATGTTACGCACTTATTATATACAAAAGAAGAAGACAAAACTGTATGTAAACCTGAAAGTGATCAAAAAGAGGAATTAAGTCATGAATCCATGAAAGAACATAGTGGAGAGGAAATGCCTTTAGCAGAAATTACAATAGATACTAAACAAGATGATGGAAAAATGATAAAAAAATTAGTACCGAAAGAGAACGAAGAGGACTCGTCACGTACAATTAAAAGTGACGAGAAAATGAAAATTACAAAGTCAGATATCGACGGATATCAAAATGTTATTGAGAAACCGGAAGAGATTCTAAAAGAATATGTGACTCAAGATTTAGAGAAAATGGAGAAAGACGTAGAATCAATAACTGAAACATTTGAAAAATCGTTCGATATTAGGCAATCATCTAAAGATGATTCTGTAAATTTACCTGGCATTCACCGCGCGTTTTCAATCAATGATAAAACATTAAAGTATATTGATGATACAAGTCAAGAAGATGATTTAAGCCAATCTGAATCTGGTGAAATAATACATATTGTAAAGGAAGATATCGATACAGACAAATTGAAGCGCTTTAGTGATCCCAATGCAAAGACAGAGATTGAAAGCCAAAAAACTGAAGAAGAATCGCATATGTCCTTTCAAGAAATATCCAAATTGCAAGAAACAAAATTAGAAAAAACGATTGAACCTGCAAAAGAAAAAGAAGAATCATTTCTCGAACAATCCCAAGAAAAAGCGGAAGAAACATCTTCAGTAAAGGAAATATCCGATAAAGAAGTAAAAATGATACTTGATAAAGAACTTTCTACTGATCAATTACCGAAAGATACAGATCTAGAAAAGTCAACTACCAGCGAGTCAGAAAAATTGGATAAATCTGCGACAGTTGCTGAGAATATAGACGTTGCAGAATCACGAAGCAATGGAGAGCACCAAACAGACGTAAGCGTTCCAATTTTTAGCAGCTTTATTGATGATACAATCGATGTTTCGGAGGAGAGCGACTCATCCAGTGATATTTCCAGGAAAACAACGCTGACCATGAGACCCTATGATACTCCGCGTCATCGGCAAAGGTGGCAGCAACAAGAAAGCCTTGAAATAGCGGGTATGTCTGAAATAAGAACTTTTAAAGACGGAGAAGATGCAAGAGTAGAAATCGAAATGGGAGAGAATACAGGCAGTAACATATCGCTCGATGAAATTGAAAATATCAAAGATTCGATTGCGATTGAAGCAACGATTAATGAATCACAGACACATGCAGAGATCGCTACTACATCCGAAAAAATCTTTTCCAACGGTGAAAAAATTTTATCCGTATATGACTTGAAAAAAGTAAATGAGATTAAAAAAGACAGAGATTTTAAGTCAAAATTTGAAGAATCAGAAGCTAATATAAAATCGGATATAAAAGATTTATTGACAACAATTCAAGATAAAGTTTTTTTAATTGTAAGCGCTAAAGAATTAAACGACACGTTAAAAGAAAATGTTAAGGATGAAATCCTTCCGATAACAAAAGAGGACAGGGAATGTAAAAGTGAGATTGCTACACCTCTTAAGAAGATTGAAAAAATTTTCGAACCTATGCAACAAAATGACAAAAGTGAAATTAGATCGCCTTTGAAACAAGCTGAGCAAATAGATCTTACAGAAGATAGAAAAAAACCCGAAGATACCAAAGTAAATAAAACGAGAATAAAAAATTCTCTGGACAAAATCAAAACTAAAGACATCGAGGTAGATAAAATAAAAAATAAAGACAGTAAAAACGGCACTTTGAAGAAGTATGCTGGAAAAACAGAGCTTCTCGAAAGCTCTGCGAAGAAAAGAAAGAAACCTGAGCGACCAAAGATGCCTTCACCCGGAGAGAGAAAACGCGTTCTTGACGAAAAGTCAAAGGAGAAAGGTACGCCAAGTCATTCTCATCATCGATCTCGTAAGTCCATTGATGGCGATCCAGAAAAAAAATTTAGAGACGACGGATCGCAGAAACAAGCATCGCGAAGCGAAGAGGAGAATCCGCAAAAACAAGCGTTGCCTAAATCAAAATTCAAGAAAGACAAGAAATTTACAATTCCCTCGAAAACTAGTGAGATCGATACGAGTAAAACGCAATCGAAGTACATGGCCTGGTATAATAAAAAACGCGACGAGACCGAGAAGAAGAGACTGGAAAAGAAGACGGCGGAAGACGAGGAACAGTTACCACGCTGGGTAAGTAGAGGCTTGAAACAAACAGTTAAGCAAAAAGAGAAGCAAAGTATAGAACACAAGACTCCGGAAGTGACGCCGCGTACGAGACGCAAGATCAAGCCTTTAATAAATGTCGAGTCTGAACAATTGAAGGCTATCGTGCGCCAAGGACGACGGTTAAGAAAAGCCGAGGGTAATCTTGAGGAGGATCCGCCGATCCAGATATTTGCCAGAACACCGCCGATTCCTACGGACACCCAGCATCGTTTGCTGCAACACTCGGAATATAAATACGAGAGGGTACCGCCGCCTTTTTATCTTCATCCACCCCCGCCAGCGCCGCATCCATCACCGCAACTGTCGCCGGAGATATCCCTCGAAATACAACCATCTACATCGCAATATGAGCAATCTGAGAACGAGTTGCATTCGGAGAGCACCGTTGCACCGTTCCAAAGTGGCACTCGTCTACGTCATCAACAGCTTCTCGAAAAGAAAAGTGTTTTCGATATTGCATACAGTGAAGCCGCGCCATCGCAACTCCGATCCGACAGCGCAACTCCACCGTCTTAACTCTCTTGGACATTAATATTACGAATTTCTTTAATACAAGAAAAAAATATACATATAACATATAAAATAATTATATATACGATATGTGTGTAGTATATATAATTATTTATTTGACAAATGTTATATACAGAATTACTTCAATGTATTTTTAACCGCGCAATTACGTCGATTAAAGTAAAAATTTTATATACATACATCTACATGCAATCAGAACATAGCAAAATTATGTCTTGTAAATATTTTATAACATCATGTTACTATTTTTGGCATTATTTTTTTGATTATTCCATTGTTGAATCCAAGAACTTTTAATATAAATAATACTTACCACGATTATTTAATATCATGACAAACAATCGTCATAATCCTCTTTAATATCGAGGTTTAACTAAGACGTATAAAATATTTCCTGCAAAAAGCAAGAGAAATATATATAACTGTTCGTAGCATAGTATAGTTTGTTTATGTTACTGCCAATAAATAATGATATCAATGTATCTTTAAGTAAAATGCAACACGAATTGGGGCGACTAATTTTATATATTATTATTCCAGTATAATAATGTTTATATAATATATCAATCTTTGTAAATATATAGATATATGTATAAAAATGCGTATTCTATGTAATTAATATCCTTCTATTAATTTCGCTTTCTTTGTTCCTTGATAATTTAAAGTACAAATTCGAGAGAGAGAGAGAGTATTCAATCTTTTTCGTAGCTTAGTAGTTTTTATTTCGTATTCGGATATATTTAAAGCATTTCCAAATTCAAAATATATATATATGTAAAATAAAATTTGCATAAATTTCTTTCTAAGGTTGCCAACAAAATAGATTTTTTTAAAGAAAACATGATTCTCAAAGGACTGCGAAAAGAACGTGGCTGCAGAATTTAGCAATTTAATATAAAAATCGATTCGCGTAGTTCTTTCAGATTAACATTATTTAATAAAAATTTCTACAATTTAAATAAACTTGTGTATACGAGATATATTGCCGCGACGCCACTGACATTGTAATAATCACATGCATAGAAGCCAGGTAAAGCCTAGCTTCTGCCACTTCTGTTTTGCTGCTACAAAAATATCCTTCGTGTCGACTTTACCAGCTCACTATCTTTTACCAACCAATTTATCTGCACTCGATGTGCTGTCTGCAACGAATATACAACCAGCCATTATCAGCAGAATAACGATAGAGTCGACGTAAGAACATTCTTCATTATCTAACTTCAATATTGCAAAAAAGATAACATATTAAATACCATTATCATCATCAAACAACATTAACATATCATTCAGAATGATAAAAAACCATTCTGTCATTCATATTAAATCTTACAAAATTTTAAAATTTAGTATATTGAAAAAAAAGAAAAAGGTTTCAAGCAATCGAAGAATATATTGAATATAATCTTATATAATGTATTATAATATAATTATATATATTTTTATCTCTTACGTAATATTATACAACATATATGTATATTATATATTATATTATATCATGCATATGCTTTACTTTCTTTATATCATACGGGACAATTAAAAAAAAGTTTAAACATGTGAGGAAAGAAGTCCAACATGCGTCCTTGAGTTTTCTAACGTTAAGTTGAAATTTTACATTCGCGCAATCAGCTGTTATTAATTATTATCTGTGCTGGAAATTTCGTGCATAAATGAAGGAAGAAAAAAGCGGAATCTCTTCGTTGCGTGATAAGATTGTTTCGACCATTCTCCATTCTTGGGTGCATCGACGTCAGTCAATGAACGGCATTACCGATGACGTACGCGTTCTCCACGCAACGCGACGAGCACGTGTTTCGCCGGTTTTGACGTATCGGCGGCGTGCCGCTGACGACAGAGATGACGTTACCGATGCAACTAACCTACCGTAATCGAAAACATAATGGTGCATCAAACATAACCGGAGACTGGTAAATCTTTGGATCGGGAGAGCACGATAAACGAGTTAGTCACGCCGCTTGTCCTTGCAGTCCCGAGTCTCGAGGTCGCCCACCCGAGATCACCGCGTCTCGTATCTTGCTACCACGTATACTCGCCTGTTATCCGCGAACCTTATCAGTCGGCCGTTTGCGACACATTCGGTCCCGGCAAGCTCGCTATGAATTGACAATTGGTCATTCATACATTGGTTATTCATACGTGAGCACGCAGATTTTTAAAAGGCCTGCCTCGTCCATCCGTTATCGCGACGAGATGGAAAACCAACTTGGCCTAAAAGAAAAAAAAGATTTTCTTGTTGATAACAATTACTAATTAAAAATATAATATAGAATAGATTATTGAATTATTGTCTATTGTATTGTTCAAAAAATCTTCTGAAGTAACAATAAAAGAGTTTCCATAATTTAAATATATTTCCAATTTTAGGATCAATGTATTAAAACATTGATAGAAATATTTATAAAATATAAATTGTATACAGAGAGAAAAAGAGAAAGAAAGAGAGAGAGAGAGAGAGAGAGAGAGAACTAATATATAACAAAGAAATAATAATATTAATAAATAATATAAATAAATTATATTATATATAAAAAAAGCATTTATTTCTCTTTATATATTATTAACGGTTTGTTAATTATTTTAGTCCCATTCGCAATTTACAATGTACTATTATCATGTAATAAAAGTTACAATAATATTTTTTGATATACACCAAATCAGAAGTGATCTGTGTGCTACTAGATCATTATTTTGCAATGACAATATCATACTTTACCACTATAATAATCTTGCAAATTTACGTCAAGATTACGTCTGATTCCCTCAAATGTGTCGATGCCGCTTGATTAAAACCGCGTCAAGTCAGAATAGGATGACGCTATTTCAACTGCGACAGTCAAGCGATGTTACGCGTTGTCGGTGAAAGATATCTTCGTATGAACAATAGACCAAATGTTAATTGTTGTTAATAAAGAGTCATGTATGTTGCTGTTGCAACGGCAAGCAGAGCCGCGGAAGAGGCTGCACCTGTACCAGCCGTGCGCAAACACACCTGAAACCTTTGACCTTTTCATCGACTCGCTTGCCTCTCCTCCTGGCGAGCATCGATCTCTCTTTCATCCGCCCCTTCGAACCCTTCGTCAACTGTAATTCCATCAAGTACCGCTGCTACACTGAACGCAACGACGTTTCTGAAAGCGAGACCGCAATCGATGCATTTTAATTTGATTACTCGAAGAGAAATACATACCGATCGTGCAATTCAGCTTTCGAACTTATCCGAATACGAGCGAGAGGAATACCACTGGAATGCTGGAATAACCGATACACAAGAATTAATTAAATTACTACAACACAATCTCTGTAATTAATTTGTAGTAAACAATCTATCTATCTAATGTTATAAAACTATTACACCATTTTTATGTTGCACTGTCTATTTTCAAGCATAATCAGAAGATTTCGATTTTTATATGCTTGATATACTTTTCTTTTGTCTGCGTAAGATATATTCTAAATTGATAATATTTATGAAAAAATCTCTTTCACATTTTTATGACTTTTGATATCGCGATATTCTCTTTGGCGGGTACTAGTGAAATGTTGGTCCAGCCCTGACTGGATTCACACTGATGCACTATTTTCGTTTTAATTACGATCGCAAATATAGCATGTGAGCTTGTATATTATATGCCGTGAAAAGTTAGGCGTATATAAGCGGAACGGGTTTAGCCCGGTCCTTAATAGCCATCAATCATTGCCAAAATTCGGCAACGCGTTGGACAACACGAGCGGCAGGATACCATCACCAAAGTAGAGTTCTCCGGGACCAACGTGACAAGGGGAGTACGGGAATAGGGGAAGGGACCGAGTGAGACATGAAACCCGTTCGATACTTCCGAAAAGTCGGCCCGACCATTCCGGTTGCGTTCACATGAATCCATCGTATCACCAACACAAACTCGACTCCACGCGAATATAAGCAGTGACATAAAGCAGTCAAGAAAGCGGGAGAGTGAACGGAATGAATAGAAAATACGTAGAAACTTGTTCATTTTCTGTGAAATATACTTTAAAACTATGATAAGAAAAACGACATATCTCTTTCTTATCAAAGTTGGTGAACGAGAAAGTTTCCACGCATAGAATTAATTTTCAAAACTTATTAACTGAGGAAAATTTACTCTACAATTGATAAAGTTTTTCTTTTTTCTTCAAATAAATAATAAATTAAATATACAAATCATTTTATTATAATATTTAGTTTATACTTTTCGAATTATATTTTTGTAATTTTAGCTGTCTCTTATAAAGAGAGATGTATTTATGGATTAAAAACCTTTTGATATCTCTCGATATTTCTTGACCACTTGTTCGACGATAAATATAGATTGAAAATGCGCTGGTAAGTAAAAAGTACTCACGGATACGTCAACGCTATATATTTCGATCAGATGAAGAGCGAAATGCGATTACGCGCGTATCCGATGCAACGACTGATACTGCAGTTGACGCGATACTGTTGGCAAGCAGGAAGCGAGCGAGTTAGGGTCCGAAGATTAACCAGAGAGTCAGGGGAATCGGCAACTTTACTTCCGGTGGCGGTTCGAGAGAGCGTATAATTTGATATCGAGTTTCACGCTCGGCTCTCTGTATACGGCGAGAATCTATATCCGAACTTCAAAGCGCCTGCAAACTTTCCGCCAAGACCACGGGAAAAGTTTGCGCGGACAAATTTAATTGAAGAGTGTATCTGGTGCGCGCTGCAAATGCTATTTGCATTTCAAACGAACCGGTCTAATGACATGTCTCAGTGACATTTATTTGCTTGCATAAATCATGCCTGGATCCGGAGAGGGACCCAGATGCGCGTGTTGCAACTGTCGAGAAACAGTTCCAGAACTTTAGCGTAAGTACAAGGTGACTATATGTGCAAAACGAAAATTAACTCTATGCGTGGACACAGCACGAGTGCGTTGTATCCTTTCGCGCGTAAATACAAGGTTGCTATACAAGCAACGCAGAAGAGATTGCGAGAAATTGATGTTCCTATACTGCAGGCTTGCCCAATCTTTATTAAAGTGTGATCGACTTTTATGGTTACAGATGCACATCGATTACATTTCCTTTTTTTAAGTTTCCAAAATGGAGAGCTCGTTACAACAAAAACAAATAGGTATTAATATTATAATATACCATATAATTTATTTATTATTTAAATTGCAAAAATACTTTTGTACTCTTTTTCAATTCATGTGATGGCTGTGCCTGCATCTCATTTATTAAAAGTTGAAAATTAGATGATTAATACGTAATAGCTAGTCTCATTGAATCTTCCATATTTATCTGTCAAGCTGTTGAGAAGGGAGTTTTAATCATATTTAAATAAAAAAAACGCTTCACACAAATAGAACCAGGAGTAAAGCATTTCACTACATTGATCGGGATGGGCAGGTCTGTCATATCGTATATTAGGCTGATATATTGTTTAATATATTATTTACGCTTATATCGATCAGCTGTTAATACGCATGCGGCAATGCGTATGACAAAATTTTGTCGTACGTATATAATAGTCTCAAAGTTGATCGCGTTCATGATCGTTGTAAAAGTTTGTCACTCTGTTCGACTTTCGTACGATAAAAAATTTAACAAGTTTTTGACGGAAATTCTTCGCTTGGATACTTTTCAATAGCCAGTCGGTACGTTCGATAAATCTAATATCTTTATAAAATGTGTTAAGAATTCTTTTACGTTGTTAATTGAGAGAAGTATTAAATTAATATAACAATATACAATAAATATCTCTCATACTCTTTCCTAATGATGCATTTATGAAATTTACGTGTTATTATAACGTATATTATAATGGTCAGATTACAATACAAGACAATTATATCAACAGCATCGCATGCTAGCCAATCGTCAAGATTCGAAAAATCTTACATGCAGGTCTCTCATCGTTACACATGACGAGTCAACCGCAATAATCTTTCGCGACGAAATAAATTTTTTTCACTTCTATCTAGAAGCTTTTATCTTGTGTTTACCGACGATAAACGTGTATAATCTAGCGATAAAGCTGCACCGCGCCGTGATATCTTGGCCGAGCCGTGTATGTATGTACATATATGTACATGCGCGATTCTCTCAGGTCGTCTGACGTAACGTACGTAATTGTTCGGTGTACATGTATCCGGGGAATATGCGAAACAAGAGTCGAATACTCCAAGCGTACTTGCGCGTAACCATGGTATCTTTTTTGCGCGAATGCATCGTACTTAAACATAAGATTTTTGATTACTCGGATTTTTCAGAATTTGTGCCCTTTTCCTCCTCTCTCTTTCTCTCTCTCTCTTAGACATGAATTGCAAGAGTAACGATGATCAGGCAGATATTAAGAGAAAAGATATATCTTTGGAGTATTATATTTCGCACTTGCTTGTAATACTTGGATATGCCCGAATTTGGCCCGTCGACTCGTTTCCGCTATGTAAAATGTTGTTTTCAACCGGAGCAACGACTGTTTTTATTTTGGGAAATTCTCTGCTCCTATTCTCTGAAATTGTGCAACTTACAATGATAAACGATCTACAATTATTTGCCAATATTATCGGAGTAATCTGCATGCATTTGGCGGGCTTAATAAAATGGTGCTACTGTATAAAAGAAAATCACCAAATCATCGATATTGTGATAAAGCTGGAAAAATGCCACGTACTTTGCCAACAAATCGATAACAGCGAAGAAGGTACAGCAATTATCTATTATTGTGTGTCCACATACTTAATTTATATATTTCTGTCTAAATATAAAACTTTTAAAATATTACTGAAAATGTTAAAGATGTGAGATAATGTTATTAAAAAAAGATAATGTTATTAATTATATTACATATATATCGTACATAACTTTGATGTTTCAAAAGTGTTAATAAATATATTTTTGAGATAATTTTCTATGATTAGAGAATTTTCAATTCGTATGTTTCAATATTACATTAATATTTTTTGCAAGTAATATTCAAAAATTTATTTGTATGCGCTAAAAATGATCTTTCCATCAGGGTGTCGAATATATAGGAATAAAATGGAATGCGCACATCGATATTCCAGTTACTTCATATATGGATGGGCATGTGCATGTACTTATGGTGTTCTACATTGGTGTATCAATCCATTTCTCCTAGGAACTTGGGCATTAAAGCAAATGAATTCGACAAATCATACATTTATCAAAAGAAGTTTGCCGTTTATCGGATGGTATCCTTTGAACACCGATGATATTTATAATTATATTTATCTGTATGTTATACAGGTAATCGGCGGAATATCTTCTGCGTTCGGAATTATTTGCTATGATACTTTTTACGTCACCATGCTAATGATCATCTGTGTACAATTTCAACATATCAATACAATATTGCAAAGAAATAATTTTGATAAGTATGATCAGTCTCTTTTTTTATCGCAAGTGATTTGTAAAATAAACTCCCTCGATCATGGAAAAATATTATTGGACTTGCAGCGTGCCAGAAGCAATGTTTATTCTCGAGAGAAAGTTAAAGAATTGCGTGGATTGTCATGCAGAGATTATAAAGTAATATTTTCATTAAATTATGTATTAACTAATAGCGAAATTATATATATATCTATTATATGCTGCATGCGCGTTATGTCAATCTCATGAATCAGTATCTATTGAGATACTCCCATCGAGATTTATTACAATATATTAATTTGAATTTTTCCGATCAGATCTCTAATGTCCGTGTATCGAAATTTTGATTTAATTTTTTTTTTTTGTGAGAAGAGAGAAGGTATTATATTTAACAGAGATATATATTTTCTAGATTTTTAAAGACATTGCAAACTTTTTGCGGTCCAGCAATGTTCATGCAATGTATCGAAACATTAGTTGTTATTTGTTTAGTTTCATTCGAAGCGTCAACAATTAAAATTGAGGTGCGAATTATTTTACAATGTGTTCGATCATACGTGCATTTAACATATGCTGTATACTCTATGCATTAACTTTTAGTATTCAAGAATTAAATTATACGTTTTTACATTTCGACAGATTCACATGGAGTCTATCTTCAAATTATGGACTCTGCTCGTATACTTTTTATGCGCCAGCGTTCAATTATATGTCTTCTGTTTTTTTGCCACTCAACTCGGACATTTGGTTCGTTTTGTATGCTGAATTCTAAAAATCATTGTCTATTGTATTCTTAAGAATTTTTAAGTTAGAACAATGTACAAAAATTATATTGGCTAATTTGTCAAATACGTTACATTATTTGAACTTTTATATCCTTTTAGGGCTTGCAAATTGCGCATTCAGTATATTTCTGCGGATGGGAGCTTATGATTTTTAAGGAGAGAAAAGATCAATCGAAAAACAATTTCGGAAAACAATTAAAACATTGCAATATTGACCGATTAGTACAAACAATTATGGTGCGAGCACAGAGACCGATTATTTTAACCGGTGGTCCATTTTATGTACTTTCGTTGGAAACTTTTAGAGTTGTAAGTAACATATTATATATGGCGAATTTTAGACATTCATCTACAGATATCATTTTATTTTATTTCTGAAATTTTATATTTAATTTTTTTGCACAAGACGCATATATAAGTCACATATTTGTTATTTATTTAAAACTTCAAGTTCTCCTTTTCAAACAGTTATCGGAAAATATTAAAAGAAAGTGTTTCATTATTAGCGAATATACATATGGGTGTAATTCTGATTATGCTACATTTTTACGCAAAACATTTATGTAAAAATGTAAAAGTTAATTATAATGGATTACAATCGTAATTTACGTATTCATTCACATAACACAAAAATTTAAGGCAAGCTTTATCTTTGAACGCCGATATGAAATTTATGTTATAGATAATTGGTTTGGCAATGTCAAATTCTGTAATGCTACGTACAATTTCTGATACGACATTAGATGAATGAGCTAAAATTGATAGACATTTATGTATGTATCTTCTTTAATATAAGAGCTTAATCTACCTAAATATACTATGACAGTCTGATAATGAAGACAAAATGCTTATATAATAAATGATAATAAATTAGATTAAAAATTGATAATAAATTATAATTATATGCTGCAATCCTCCGCTATTAAAACAAATTCTGTATAAAAGATAAGGCAACTTCTCCACGAAACAATTTTTTTTAAAATAAAAATTTAAGCATCAGATGCGTATGAAGTGCATCTATAATTAAACGCGTTATTAACATACGAGACCAATAATGACTATGACAGAACCTTGTCTATGTTTGTATTTATATTTTTCTAATGGACGACTATCTCCCATATTGCACGCTAGCATTCCCAAGTCGTTTCTTGCGTTCAGCGCTCTTTATATCTCATCGAGATATGGAATGTGAAGAGAAAGAAAGAGGAAGTGTATAAAGGTAGAGTGTGGGAGAGATTGTCGGTAGAGTGGGGACAAAGAGAGAGGATGCTATCCACCTACAACCGTATAAGAAGCCCGCGCTTCTATCAGGAGAGCATGAACACGCAAACGTCGTGGCTTACTAACTCTTTCGCATGTTATCTTATCACGGATGCTACGTGTCCCGACGAGGCAGCTTGGACTCCGCGAGTGGACTCGCCGCGACAGCTTACCTCTTGCTGCGTCGTGCGTGCCTGGCATACAAAAGTTGAGATTAGAATGCACGTGGTCACCCTTCTGGAATCTCGGTCGTTCTATACTGACGAAGACGAGATGATGATCGGTGCTAGTAGTTACCGTCGCCAATACACCGCCGAGCGTGAGTGGATGCGGCTTCCCGAGGTCAGACTTTATTTATCGTTCTTTACATTATACAACTCGCCGCAGATACTGATACTTATTAAGATTTTTTTAAATTTCACATTATAACATAGCGGTATCTTAATAAGAGTACGTAAATATGTATTTGTATATTTTATTCTCTCTGAAAATTATTAATAATGAAGACATATACAGGGTGTCCCAAAGCACCCTTGACAACGCTCGTGAGCAGGTAGAGCACAGTAAACTGAATCAATAATAACTCCTTTATTAAGCGTTATAAAAAAAAATTGTACAGGACTTTTCTGTTCAGTTTACTGTGCTCTACTTGCTCACGAGCGTTGTCAAGGGTGCTTTGGGACACCCTGTATAAATTATATAATATATTATATAGAAAAGATTCTCGGGAACATAGAAGGAATAAAAAGAACAATCTTTAATTATCGAAGAAAACAATCAATTAATTTTCTCACACATGTGTTTTATGCAATTAAATTTAATATTGTATTTATATTTAATATTATATTTATTCTTGTATGTAAATTTATACATATATACCAGTCAGCCGGGGCTTCGTGTATGTATGTATGTATGTATGTATGTACATACAATACATTTCACTAGGTTTGCGGCTAGGTTTTTCATTCTTGGTCTGGCATGATCCCCTGATCGCACATCCGCGAGTCGCGAAGTCCCATTATGCGCAATTATGCGTCGTCGCGGTCGGTGATGTCGTCGTTAACCGTCGAAGGTAGGTATTGAAAAAGGTGGAGAGCTGGTCTTTCCTCGCACGATTACGTCTCGATGCACACGTACGTATCGTTAACACTCGCCAAGACTCCTCACCTGCCCATCAAAAGACGTAAAGTCATCCACATTGGCCAACCATCGAACCGGGATACATGTGATCGAGGAGGTAGTCGGGCGCCGTGTTACTATCTAGGGCGGGAAGAGCGCTAGGTCACGTGACCCAGACTCATTCAAGAGAAACCAGCCTTGCCAGCCGGCACCACCACGCTCTCATGTTCTCTTCGTCGTTACTTGGCGAAATGTGGACGCCTTTCGGGAACTGTTTTTCTTGGCACCCTGAAGTGTACCCCGGGTGCAACCGATTGTCCCGTAAGGGCGTATCGTGAAACCTTGACGAAGCTTACATATAGTACGCATGTCCTCGTTCGAGCACTCGTGGATAAAGCCACTGCCTGCAAGAGTGTCTCAAGCACCTTCCCAACTGAAGGAAACCATGCTAAAGTACATTTTTCAAAAATCGAGTTATAAAGAAATTTATATTTTTTTTTTATAAATGAGATATATTGTGTTAATAATGATTCACCGAAACTGACTGTCTTTCTTGATCTCTTTTTTTTTTGTTTTTGCAACTTTTATTTTCAGCGATGCATATTTTTTCACAGGGATAATCAATAACATATGTTTGATTTTTATTAGAATTGAAAAAGGCATTAAAATAATATATTATAGTATATACTATATCTAAAACATTTTAAATATTTAATATTTTGAATATTTGAAAAATTGTATTAGATAATAAACGCGTTCCTTTTTAATCTTCTTCATCACTGATTATTACGCGAGATAATTTAGGTCGCTCAGATGGTACATTAGACAATGGAGATTCTTCGTCATCACTAATTATTACGCGAGAGCCATTTGTTTTAGCATTATCATCTTTTAACGATTCTACTTCCTCGTCGCTATCAAGTAATCGACGTTTCTTACTGGACGGTTTATCTGTATCGGAAGAATCGGATCTATCCCTCTTTGTATCATCTGTAAAATATATGAAAATTTATATTAATATTGACCTACAAAAAGATTGGAAATCGATCAGTTATCTTTTATCAGCATACGTTACTAACCGTTTTTACCATCAATGCTCCTTTGAATTTCCATTTCCGAATCGGAGGAATCATCGAACATTCTTACGCGGTTTCTCACATTGCCTATGCCATCTAAAATTTTACATCATTACGTATGTTATCAAAAAAAAAAAAAAAAATTATTGTTTAAAAATTTATCTGTATCGGAAGAATCGGATCTATCCCTCTTTGTATCATCTGTAAAATATATGAAAATTTATATTAATATTGACCTACAAAAAGATTGGAAATCGATCAGTTATCTTTTATCAGCATACGTTACTAACCGTTTTTACCATCAATGCTCCTTTGAATTTCCATTTCCGAATCGGAGGAATCATCGAACATTCTTACGCGGTTTCTCACATTGCCTATGCCATCTAAAATTTTACATCATTATAAAAAAAAAAAAAAAAAAAAAAAAAAATTATTGTTTAAAAATTAAACTTGACCAATGACAAAAATATATTTGTCGGTAAATTCGTGATAAAGGAATATCAGTCTACTGGCTTGAATAACAGAGGGCGAGAAAATGTTACCTCATTTCTCGTAGTTTAATTAATTACTTAATAGTGACATACCTTCATTAGTTTTTTTTGCAACTTCTGCTTCATTATTTTTTTCGGTAACTTTTGTTTCATCATTTTTTTCTTCAACTTCTGCTTCATCGCTTTCTTCGTTTAATTGCGATAATTCTTTAGATTCCTGTGATAACTGAATCTTAGTGCACGGTTTTGATTGTTTAGAAGTTGATGGTTTCGGTTCTAAAAAATAATTCGAGAGATTTAGTCTTTTATACATCATATATAGGAGTTGAGAATTGTATATTTTTTAATAAATGCTCTGATAAATCTTAATTTAAAAAGATCTTGGAATACTTGGAAACTATTTAAAAAAGTAATTCGTAAACTTTAATTTTTCCATCAACTGATTGCTTATATATATTATAATCTTATAGACTGTGTTGAAAACATTTTGTAATAATATACAAAGTTATGCTAACACCGATATAATCCTTTCCAACATACTTTTCGTCCGACAAAATTATCAAATAAGATATAGAAAAATATAGTTTTACTAACCTGTGGGTACAAAGAACTTCTTAACATTCTCAAATACATCAACATCGTCTCCACTGTCGTCCATATTTTCGTCAGTATCAGAATGATCCTTGCGTGGTTCTGGTCGTGTTTCTACAAAACGTTTCGGTAAATTATCTTAATTTGAAAATTTTTTACTCAGTGTACGTATGTATATATGTGTGTGTGTTTATGTTGGACATTGCCAATATTCATTTACCCTCGACGACAAATTTGCCGGCTAAAACGTCTTCGATGAGTTTGTAGCGTTTCTGAATTGTAGCTGTAAGCATATTCGCCGGCATACGCCAATAAGATTCCTGGGCATCAGCCGGTGGCACAAATCCCAGGGCACGGAGAAGCTTTTGAAAACTCGGTGAATCCATCGCGGTCGACGAGTAATCTGTCAGCGGCACCAAGGGTATGCCCTCGGAGCTTTCCTCGTCACGATCGTCCAGAATGTCTTGCAGGGATTCCTTGATCCATTCCAACGCCTCTCTCATGTCTGTGATTTATCAAGAGATTTTTTTCCAACAAATTTCCCGCATTAATTTTTTTTCATTAATAATTTAATTTTGTTCGCTAATAAGAATTAATCACGCGTATTAATTTTTACTTTGAAGATATTTGTTTTTATGAAGGTTTACTTGTTGGCCATTATGAATATTACGAATTGCTGTATTATTTGAGTAAATTGATGAAAATTAATTTGTTGAATTAAATTTATCAAATTTCGCAAACAAAAAAAATTGCTTTTTTAAGATTTGTGGACCGTGATCCGCATTCGAATATTGACATATATACCCCACAAAGTGACCTGAGAAGTCGTTTTTCTGACAAGTCATCATTTCTTTTTTTTCACGTAATGGTTTCTGCAAATCATCGCCTTCTCCCTTTTTTTCCAGAAGAACATTTATCCTGCGCGAAGGAAACGAGGGACGCGCGCCATTCTAGCGACAAGTGCGCTTTCATTAATCACAAAAACGCGGATGCGCGTCGGAGGGAGGAAGGGGGAAAAGAAAAAAAAACATAAGAGGGCAGCGAGACTCACCCCTGTCGATGACGTCCTTCAAGAGACCGGATAATTGTGCATCCGTGTAAACGATCGTCGGTAGCTTCCGCCTGTTCCGTTGCTTCTTTTTCGTCGATTCCTCGCTCCGACGAGTCGCGCCGCCGCGCTTCGAGGATTTTCGAGTTTCTTCGTCGTCTTCGTCGTCGGTGGATGAACTTTCGTTCCCGTCAGAATTACTGGCAGCTTGCGTTTCCCACGACGATTTACCTTTGCGCACAATGCATGGAAACGATGTGAACCTTTCTCGAGCGAGTGTTCATCAGCGTATGTAAAGTACGCCGCGCAGTGTCGCGTATGTGTGTGCAGAAGGCATTTCACGTAACATTAGGTAAATCTCGAACCGCGTCATAAATATTAAAGTATACGTATAAAATCTGCAACACTCTGAATGACAAATATTTTTTTTTTTGTTTTCGCATGAAAGTCCGAGACCTAATCTTGCGCGCGATTTAAATTTATATCTGTCTTAGATATTTGCCCACACATCGTGCACAGTTTTTTAAAACTGTTCTAATAAAGAGATTAGATACAGGATATAAATCTATTTTAGAATATATTGAAATATTAATTGGATATGCGCTATCTGTTACTGATAGAAGAACAATAGCATTTTCTATATAGGATAATCCTATATGGATAGCGAAATTGCATCAAAACATGACGTTGAGGGAAAATGTTATTTCAAAGACACATAAGGTGAACCGAAACTTCTCGGCAATACTTCATCTCACAGCTGTATATCTATGATATGAGCTATCTCAATGCATTGAATACAAATAAGGCATGAGAGAGGAAAACAATATCCATGATAAATATGAAATTCCTTCTGGCACCATAATAAGAAGCTAAGGCGAGTGATATTGGTCCAAGAGCGGCGAAAGTGCGTCTGGAATTCGCAGTTGCCGAATATTAAATAACAAGATCGATATTCCGTGATGATATCATTAAGCACTTCGAATATGTACGATGAAAAAAAAAGATACATATTAGAGCATAAATATGAATTCCAATATCTGAAAAATTGAATTTTTTCACTTCACAAATTTGTTTGAAAGATTAATGACATTTCGCGCATTCAAATAAAAAAAAAAAAAAAGAAATATTTTAGATTTTTAAACTCTACATTTCGAAAAAAAAAAATTATTCGTAATATTAAATATTTATTATAATTATTACTATCTTATGCGTCATAATTATTTTTCATTTTGTAATCGTAATAAAAAAGAGATGTATACTATGTTTCGAACAATTAATATAAAGAATGGATTCAACAATTTGTTAATATCAATTTTGAAATATTAAAAGCTACGTAACTCGTGTTATTGTTTCAATTGTAAGTTTACGCGAATATTTCGAGAAGAATAATTATAAACATATGATTATCTTTCACGAGATTACGAATAATTATAGATATGTATATATGCAATATATACATATTCAATTATACGTATATTATATGTATTCGGTAATTCGATACAGTTAAACCGCCAGAATAGCATCTGGTTCAAAGCGCATAGTTCGACTCTATATAATTTCTATAACGCGAATTATTGCGTAATGCGTTGTACAAACTGGGGGAAAAGAAGAGAATTTAATTCTTAAATATTTTAATAAAAATACACGCGATTTTTAAATATTTGTAGCATATATGTGAATACCTGAAAATTTGTAACTTTACACACTTGCATTCCTTGTTCATAGTTGAAACATTTTCTAATAATATCGATATTTTTGCGGAAATATTAATTAAATATGTTACTCGCTGTCTGTGCAGTTTGATGATAGTATGCCGTCCTCTTCATAGTATCGAAGAACATTTCACAGAACCGCACTTGCTTCACTCTTGAGGAATAACGAAGGGAAACAGAAACGATCTGGCAAACATACGAGCGAACTTGTCTCGGTTGGTAATATCGACGAAAGGTTTTTTTTTCTCCTTTACGATCCGTAAGAAATCGGGATATATAGGAGAGCGAGAAGAATCCTGTACAAATTGATCTTTGCTCCTTCTCACTTTTCCCCTCGCGCTCTCTCTCTCTCTATCCCTACATCGTCGTTTCGCTCTCCCCGTTGAAAGCGAGCCGCTCCATGCAGTCGCCGGCAATCGCGTTACTAGAAGACTGATCGAATGGGAATAGTCGCGGAATCGGAGGATAGTAAGAAAGACAGATGCGAATGGAATGGGATGGGATTGGCCGGAACAAGGGATATGCTCCAGACTGGATTGTGATGAGGGAGGAAGAACGAATAGGTATACTCACCCTGGTTGCTTTTTCTGGCCCGTTTTTTGCGCAGCTCCTTGCGATCCTGCGCCAATCCTAATTCCAAAAGCTTTTCCTTGATCTTCGGCTTCGGCCGCTTTATTCTAAGACCGGTGAAAATCAAATCCACGGGATCTGTCGGGAACATAAGTGTAGTTTCGATTTTTATAGCGTCGTCAAGAAACGGTATAGCGCGGATGATAGGGAGACTTTGTGAGAGATTCACAGGCGAGGGAAGATCGAGACGATTGTTAGAGATTTCAAAGAGATTTAAAGTTGAAATCAATTAAAGTCTACAAAGAGAAACGCAAGCGCTCCCTCTTTATTTCACGAAATGTATTTATACGTCAATTGGATGTCTGTCTTTACGGACTTTTGACTTAGGGATAATTTAATTTTTTTGAAAGATTACAAAATAATTTTACATATAAACCCGATTCTGTGATGTAAACTGCTTTCGCGATTCAATTTATATTATATGACATATAAATTTAATTTTATAAAAAAATTGTCTCTTACGACGTGACATCTTTGCGAATGTTTTCCGTTTGTCGGTTGGGAATTCTAGAGTTAACAACTGCCGAGTGAAAATACGATAGAATAAAACACTTTGCGGAGATTTTTGAAAGAAACGTGAAGAAAAATGCCCTTGACATTTCGCGGACATCTGAGAATTACGCCTGGCGGAAGCGAGTTCGGAGATTAAAAGTTATGGAGAGCGGTGGATTCGTATGAAAATGAAACAAGTTTTACAAGACTTCTCTGAAAATGTCTCTGTCAGGAAGGATATTATTCTTCGTTCGTCCCAGCGGATTCGAAATTATTACTACAAGCAGCCAAGCGTGTCCGATGTTCGGAGCTTAATTAAATCCTAGGAATCGTTCCGGTGTTAACGAATTCTCGCACGAATTTCGCATTCACGAAATATTTCAACAGTTTTGGAACGCGAGTAACCGGTTAGAATTAACGCGAAAATTTATGGTAAATTTCTATCGAACAAATTTATATCGAGAATTGGGTTAAGGCCATATTCATTGCATATGTAATATTCCCAGATAAATTATAAAGTTACCAAATATATCGCTAGATTCTTGTGAAAAATTTATATCATCAAGTTATAAATTTCGCTCTTTATTTTTTTACTCCTGATTAATAATCATAATTAATTATGACAATAATTTAATCGCGTTACGAATTAATATTCAAAAACGTACAAAATAAATGAATGATGGAAATGTGAAAGTTAATATCGACTAATCAGATTTATACTTTGAGAAAATAAAAAATTTTTAAAAGAATTAAGAAACATCAATGAGAAAGTAACTTAAGGAAAATAAATTTTAAAAATTACCGTCATCGTCCTTGAACTGTGTCCAAAGTTCCGTAAGCTGGGTAATTTCTTCCTCAGACCATTCCTTAGGCAACCTCTTTTGTACCTCAGCTCGTACGTTCTAATTAATTGCGAGATTTAAAATAATTAGTTAAACCGTGCATGTAGATAAAAAAAAAAATTAAAAATGTTTTAAATCTCTAAAAACAATTATAACAGAATATTGATGTCCGAAGAGAAAATATACAGATATATCTTTACAAATATATAAATTGGCACTCAGCTATTCGACTTCTATAATTTTCTCGAAAAGTTTGCGTGCGCCTAATTCCCGGATTTGATGAGAGAAAGCATCCCGTGTATAATTTCTGGAGAAGCAGTTTCTAAGTCAGTAGGCGTATTTAAAAAAGAGAAGCCGGGAGATCGCTCGTTTTCCAGCGATTACGTTCCACCCTCGACAGAACGAGGACTCTTACGAGTGTCCCTAAATGGTCGGAGCAATATCGTACAACTTCCATGAACTAAATGAACGTCAAATGAATACTCGGCCTCGTATTCTCTCATTCGGCCGTTTTCTCTCTCTCTCTCTCTTTCTCTTCTTCTACGCTTGAAGAGGCGAAACGTATTCACGCATGAAATTATTTAAATGAAACGTTTCCGCGGCTAGGCCTTTCCCCCGGAAGACCTCGCCAAGGAATCGATAATACGTTGGAGAAAACGTTTCCGCTGACGTAGTAACCCTCTTTGCCGATGATTGCACACTCATGATTAATAGCAAATTAAGAGCGGGAAAAACGAATCTTTCTTTTTCTCTCTCCTAAATCATGATTAACATCAAGTCAGTATCAAAAAATTTGTTTTATTTTCCGCACGCTCTATTCTTATTAAACAAAAAAATTAATTATGTTATAGGTATTTCTTCTGAAGAAAATGAAATTTTAGTAAACGGCTAAGAGATATGTATGATTTTAAGAATAAAGATTGTAAATGACCAATCAGCGTTTTGTTCTAAAGTAATTATTGAAAAAAATTGCCGGCGTCAAAAAAACCGCTGATATCTTCCAAGCGAATGAAATTTTTTGCTGAATCTCTTATACTATCGCGCTTCATATCTACAAAAAGCACAGTAGAGAATAAGATCCGGTATTGTGTATTGCATCGCTTATTCTCCGCTACGTGCTTTTTTCCCTTGTTAGAAGCTTCTCTACAAACTCAATTAATTTCAAGTTTTAAATAAGCCGGTAACTAGTTAGTAACTCCTCTGCCGCAATAAGAAGCTTGATTAACGCATTCCCATGCCTTATCACCGTATTGCACCGTGTATTTTCAGAAGAAAAGAGTTATAATGAAGGAAAAAGAAACGGGCTTTCAAGCTTAGCGAGATTAATATATCTATCTCGGAAAATATTCTGTAAAAAATATTAATAATCCCCCAAAAAAATAATGCACTTTTGATTTCGGAATTAATTAATTACTAAATATTCTCCAGGTTATGTAACTCTATCATGATATAAACTCTAGTAATTTGCATCATGATACTTGAGGATTAAAAATAAAGTATTTATTATATTTTAATCCGTACTCTGGCGAAACAAAAGTTACATAACACAATACCCACATATAACATATACATTTACACTTCGACAAACTCGTCGAAGCAGTTGGGTCACGTTTCCTTTGTGCTTTCATGCCCCGAAGGGTGATGCAAATGTTTATACGTATGTCGTAAGGCAGAAGGCAAACAAAACGATAGCTTTTCTCGAGGAGGCGCCAGTTTTAGAACCGCGAGTTGACGAGGGGACGCACAGATATTTCCATGCTCGAGAAAAGAAACTACCGGTTGGTAGAAGGAACACGCAGCTCACGTCGGAAGCCTCACGCAACCGCTTGGTAGAAATCGTGGAAGAAAGAGAAACGAAGAAACGAGGGTGGAAAGCTCGCCCCGTAGGTATTGTCTCCGGAGAATTTACAGTTCTTGTAGCAATTCCCGGCTCCATTTTTTGCATATGTTCACCCCGTCAGCGGAGGCAGTCTAGAAACTTATTTTCGAGGCCGGGTGAACGACCCCCCTACCCTTCCCCCTGCCCTTTCAAGCTTCTCGTAAATCATTGATCTTGTCAGACGGAGCGCGACTGGGATTGCCGTGGGGACATATGAATGGACCAAGTACTTTTTCGGTGGAGAGAAATCTTTGCGAAATCTTTTAAATTTATTTTTTTTTACTCTTATGAAAAAAATATTCAATTTAAAATAAATAAATTATAATTGATATAGGTTCAAGATTGTTTGTTCGCTTTGGTATTTCTTAAAATGTTTTCTTAAAAAATTACGCTGTTACAGAAAAAAGAAGTGTAACTAACCTTAGAATTGACAATTAAACTCATTTCTTTGAGTTTTTTAATGATGGTACGCCGCGTTCTATTTTCGTTGATGATGTGCTCCAATAACCAGTCAATCAGGTCTATAAATTTACAACATAATTATTGCAATATATAAATGGCCCAATTTTGGTCTTTTTCTCGTTTCTAATTTTCTGTTAATTCAAACAATAATAATAAAATATTAAAGATAAAAGATTTATATTGAACTGCGCGCGCTTATATTTCTTACATGTTTGTGTCTTGCGTCAAGAAATTGTACGTTTCGAGTATTTCTTCGTATGAGGAAAAGCTAATCTATCGAGGTCAACAATATGAACACGAGATTCCTCCAGAAATAGATATAAAGAGTTTACCTTGAGGGTATTTGTTAGTCTGATGCTCCATGAAGAGAGCACGCAACTCGTCCTCTTCAGCTTCCGTCCAGACTGCTCGTGAAACTTTCTTGTTACTCGTTTCCGCGTTGTAGCCATCCACGATTTCTGTCGCGTCACGGGTGGTCTTCCAGAAGAGCAGCTCCATGTACGACTTCCGGTTCTTCTGGGCGACTTCGATGAAACGGCGGATTATGAAGACCGCGAACTTTTGGAGCTCCTAAAGCAAGGATCGATTTTTCGCTGCTCGACAAGTCTACTTCCGTGGGCCATTAAGCTCGATACAAGGATGAAATAAAAACCTCGGTGGAGGAATTTATCGCGCGGCATAAGAAAGGGGAGCTTTATCGCTGAGAAACACAGTAAAGTCTTATCTATGCTTTCATTATGTGCAAAGAACGATGATAAAGTGTTATGCTACGAAGAAGAGAGGTCTATATATTCGACTAGGTGATAATTAGATGCCATCAAAATTGTATAATGTTGTTAATAATTTTCACACTATATTAGAAATTATAATATAAAAGTATCGTAGTTACGCGATTTATTTTGTGTACTTTATTACCTTGTGTTCAGAATCTTTTGACTCAAAGATTCTTTGAAAGATCCGAAATATGGACGCTTGGAATATCATGGCTGGCATTTTGCAATCCCAAGCAATTCGATGTAGCATTTTTATTACATAATGATTTACTTCGACCGTATTGTCCTCAAATTTTTGCAGTAGCAATGCTAAAGCTTTAACAGCCTTTATGTTGGCGAACCTTTGAATGAGATATTACTCTCTTTTAGCAAAGATATAGTGCCTTATTTTATTGTACAGATATTATATACAATTTTTTATCATATATTTTGTTTCTTTCAATTAAAACTGCTTTAACAGATCGCGTTAAAGTTGCTATAAAGTATGTAAAAATTTTATTTTTTGTTGAAACAAAGAGAAAGAAAAAACAAGACTTTAAAGAATGGGCTTTAACAAAATTTTACTTTGAAGCTTAATTATAAAATTAAATAGTGTTTAAAGTAAATTATTAAAGATATAATCAAACAATATTCATAAATAAATGAATCAATATATCTGAGAGATATTTTATATTGTCTCTTTATATCGCACCTTTGAAGAAATTCATCCAATTTAAAATCAGTCTCGCGGAAAACAGTTTCTTCTTCTTCTTCTTCCTCATCAGTCTCTTCTTCGTCTATTAAAAAGATTATTTACATATATATTATAAATAAATGTGTAAAGATTCAAATCAAGAGATTCGATATTTATCTACCTGGTTCATGATTTACAGAATTTTCAATATCTCCATTCTCATTTACTTCTTGAGTGACAGGCTGATCTTCTATTACTAAAAACAAATAAAATAAATTTTTAAAACATTTAATATACAATTTAAATGAAATATTAATCATTGATTTAAACAAAAAATGCTCTAGTTTAAAAAGAATTATTTTTAGTTTTTGAGTTGAATTTGATAATTTAATCGTCAATGTAATTATTTCTCTCAATTTAAACATATTCTTATTATATAAGTTTTTGAGATAATGATGATCTCGATATGTAGATCGTAATACATAAGTACTTTTAAAAGTACATCGATGAAACGTTTTAAATCATCGCGAAAAGTTTTCTTTGAGCGAGTTGTTGCTCCAACTAAAGAAAGCTTTCCACCATCCGAAGAATTCAGTTTGTCCAAGTGACGGTGACGGTGGTGCTATTTCAGTTTAAAGTTTTAATTGTCTCTTCTCCGCGGTCTGCTCAACTCGAAACAGTAATTCGAGATAAAATAAAGCGCTCGTCCGACTCGCGGTGTTTTTATCTCGGATTTTTAAATGCTTCATCCCCGTTGATGTATTAAAAGTGTTAACGGAAACTTTTGCTTTCTCAGCATGGAGTACGATTCCGAGTATTTCCATAGATTTCTTAAAGAACTTTTCTTCCATTTTTAGAGAAATTTTTCTCTAAGTTCCCGGATAGTTATGCAGGATGTCTTGCAATAAGATAAAAATTTTTATATCAAGAAAAATATCGAGCAAGATTTATATACTTTTATATCAGGTGATTGCATAAGTTCGTGCCCGATTTAAATATAAACTTCAATAGATTATATTTTAGAGATAACACTTTTATTAATCAATTATATAGTCTCCATTCTTTTCTACAATGGTTTTCCAACGATCTATAAGCTTGTCGATTCCATTTTTGAAGAAAGAACTTGATTTTTCTTGAAAAAAGTTTGTAAGGTGGTTTTCAACAGCTTCCTCGGAATTGAGATTCTTGCCATTTAAACTATTCTGCAAAGACCGGAACAGATAAAAATCTGAAGGCGCAATATCTGGAGAATATGGCGGGTGCTGCAGAATTTCCCATTGCAACTCCTGCAGTTTTCACAGCGTCTGTTGAGCGACGTGTGGCCTAGCATTGTCGTGGTGGAAGATGACGCCTTTTCGATTGGCCAAAATCGGACGTTTTTCTCGAATAGCTGCAGCGAGTCTAGTTAGTTGCTCACAGTACTTGTCCGCCGTGATTGTTTCGCCGCGTCGGAGCAGCTCAAAGTAAATAATTCCCTTGCGATCCCACCAAACACACAGCAACACCTTCATCGGATGCAAGCCAGCCTTTGCTTACGGGTTCTGCTCCTTCAGCTGCTGTTTTCCATGTCCTCTTTCGCTGTACGTTTTTGTAGAGAATCCACTTTTCATCGCCTGTTACCATTCGATCTAAAAAAGGCTCTTTTTTGTTACGCTCGAGAAGAGAAAGAGCCACAGTCATACGGTTTAGCTTATTCCTTTCAGTCAGGAGATGCGGCACCCATGTATCAAGCTTGGAAACGTATCCAAGCTTTTTTAAATGACGAAAAGCGGTTGAATTATCGATGTTCAGCCTCTCAGCAATATCCTCAGTTGTAATCCTTGGGTTTCTTTCCACTAAGGCATGCACAATGTCATTATCAATGCCAGAAGGCCGTCCAGAGTGGGGTTGATCCTCCATGTTGAAATCACCATTTCGAAATCTGCCAAACCACTTTTTGACTGTTCGGAGAGCAGGAGCGCGGTCCAAATAAACGGTTTGAATATTTTTTTGTGCAATCCCAACACTCACGCCTTTCCGAAATTTATATAACATTACATGCCGCAAATGCACCTTTTCGTTTTCCATTTTTAATGATTTCTCTTATGCACCAATGGACTTATCTGAACAATGTCTGATGCTAAATTGACATAAGACAACGTCATCTATTCGGTGTAAGCAACAATTACCACACGAAAACAATAGAACTCCGCCATGCAGTAACTTAATGCCATCTATGAAAATCGGGCACGAACTTATGCAATCATCCAATATTTAATGATTTTTTTTATTCAAAAGAATCTTGTTCCATCTCTTGCATAGATTTAAAAGTTTCATAAATAAATACAGTGCGCTTACGAGTGCCTAATGGAAACTAGATGCATAAAAATGCATCGCTCGTTTTTTGTATCGTTTTGTAAAGAAGAAGAGAAAGTAATCTCCATATTTATGCATCCTTAGTGCAATCTATAGCGCAATCTAGTTCAATAAAGAAGGCAGATAATTCATTCTATGGTTATAGATCTCCAAATATATGCAAAAGATCGTGCATTTAACGCGAGAGTTATCGGTTCGAGCACGGCCGACGCGGAGAAGTTACGTCGATATTTGCGATAGCTCGTTGCGTTCAACTATCGATCGTCTCCCCGCAATTTCTCGGCGATACGTTCCCACGCACAATGTATTCTACGAGGATGCATACATGTGTGTATGCATATGTGTATGTGTAAGTATCCAAATGTATGTGCAAAAGAGACCATACAACACGTGGTACGGTCGCACGAGATTGTTAAGCGGCTAACACTCACGTTTCAATACACCTCTAGCATGTTATTTGCATATTTCGTAAATTAATTAATCATATATTTATGATACATCCACTATTACGCGAAAAATAAGAAAAGTTGCATTTCAGTTTTTTTTTTTTTTTAATACAGTGATATATATTATTTATTATATTCCATAACATCGTTAAATTTTGTGGCCTCTGATACGGTCGATTTTTTTCACTAAATTCGTTTTTGACCATTCCCCGTAACGAAAAATAGTTATATGTTAGAGCTGAACTATTCCGCGCATTTGTACGAAGTTTTTTCAAATTTACAAACTGCCGAACTTTGCTCGTTAGTCATTCTGTCATCGATCTTTTACGTTGTTTTTATCACGTTGAAATAGATAACTTTACAATGATTGATATTGTATTACACACACACACACACACACACACACACACACACACACACACACACACACACACACACACACACACACACACACACACACACACACACACACACACACACACACACACACACACACACACACACACACACACACACACACACACACACACACACACACACACACACACACACACACACACACACACACACACACACACACACACACACACACACACACACACACACACACACACACACACACACACACACACACACACACACACACACACACACACACACACACACACACACACACACACACACACACACACACACACACACACACACACACACACACACACACACACACACACACACACACACACACACACACACACACACACACACACACACACACACACACACACACACACACACACACACACACACACACACACACACACACACACACACACACACACACACACACACACACACACACACACACACACACACACACACACACACACACACACATATTGTATTACACACACACACACACACACACACACACACACACACACGTTATATAAAATGATATAAGTACCATATAAAGAGAACCTAATTTAGACAAAATCTTGGGAATTTATATTTTTAATTACAAGTGTTTTTTACGAATATAAGATGTAAAACGTTACATATATTATTTCTCATTTATCTTAAAGTAAAGTTTAATAATTCGATAATAGATTCATGTTTCGAAAACATGCTCGGACGAGCGATATCATTATAATCATAATTGTAAATTAATTTGATCGACGGCGCGTAACATCCGGATAGCAATCTCTCGTTAGACTCGAGATTGCGATGCTCCTCCTCCTTGCCATTAAATTAGGCATTATCGTGGGCGCAAAGACGAGGGGCGCATTATGCGATTGTATTACCTGGATAATAAGTGTTGTCTAACGCGTACATAGAGTAGCTAGGTAAATGGGGTTGCAGGTGGTATATCAGAAGTTGGGCGGTTGAAAATAATAGAGACAGAGGACGGGAAACAAGAGCGGAGGAAAGCATGGCGAAGGATAGGAGTAGATGGGTTTATCACGGCTGAGACCAAAAGCCCTGGTACGCTACCTCGATGTAATTTGTGAAGAGATAATAACCGTCGTCCACGAGAACACCGTCGTGGTGTATGTATGTGTGTGTGTGTTGAGGAATTTTTTTATATTTATATTATGTATTCCATTTAAAAAAGGTAGTGTCTGATGGTATTAAGATCCGTATCTCCATAAGCGAATTTTGTCGAGATCGCTCCGGATTCGATGCCTATAAGTGCTTTAACACTACATCGAGAGAATTAAATGTTATTGAAATAAAAAATCTTTTTTATTTTACTAATATTTTATTGGGTATTGAATTTTTGAAAAAAAAGAAGATCATTTAATAAAATTGAGATCTGTATTGATAACCGATTTTTGCAAAGATTATAATTCAATGCTTGTAAACGTTTTAATTTTAGGATAAACAAAAACTAAATGCTGAAACTTAAAAAAGTAAAAGAAAGAAAAAAAAATAGAAAGAAATCTTTATAGCATTCTATATTACAATTTTTTTCTCTTGTAAATCTTTACAATATCATTGCTTCTGCATAATTTGCATAATCGCAAATACAAAGTGATTTTTATCCCGTTTATCAAAAGTATAATTTTTCTCATGAAAGATAGAAAGTTAATAGCAAGTTAGAAAATGGAAAATTATAAAAGATAAAGTTTCCAACGATGGATGTAAAGCAACTTTCTCAATAGAAAAAGTTTCAAATTTAAAAGAAGTGCAAAGCAGTCTTGTAAACCATAGTTACTTGCAGTTTGATAAGACTCGTAACCCACTAAATGAATCAACCATGGAGAGTAACTTACTCCTGAAATCAAGGAAGAGCTATTCCAATGTTTTACTTCACGACAAATTCATTATTGCGGAAAAGATATCACGTCCCTGGGATTTAGGGCAGCGTGAATATCGCGGAAATTGTAACCTTGATAACCTGCGTCTCGTTTCTCTCCTGCACGGAAATTCACTGATATTTTTGAACGAGGGA